GTCATGTCATAATATCTCAAAAATTTTCTATTCTTGTCATCCAAAAACTTGTACTCGAACAAGTCATAACCACACCCTATGAAGCACTTTATAGCTTTAGTATCAAGTTTGTCTATCTTCTCTAGATCAACATTAGTATACACAACCAAAAGTGATAGTACTTGAGTTCTATTCCTATCCATACTCCTTTTGACACCTTGAATTCTAAGAGTACTGACAACCCTCTATTGATCAAGTAGGCTATTGTATTTATAACATCAGTCCAGAACGTCTTTGGCAATCTAGATTGAATTATCGTACTCTTTGCCCGCTCATTCAATGTTTTGTTTAATTTTTAGTAGTATCATTTTATCTTGCCTTATTGGGTACTGTCCTCATTAATCTAGTTTCCTTAATTCAAACTAGTCTAATTTTCAACTTCAGTTTTCCACCTCTTGAAGGTGGCGAACACATCTGATTTATGTTTTAGGAAATAAATTAATACCTTTACGTTGAAAAGTGACATAAAACTTTAATCCACTTAGTGATGAAACTGAAGATGGTCCTCAAACATCGGTATGAACCATCTCACCGTACTTGGAAGTGCATGTTGCCTCTATATCTATAGCTAAAAGTATATTTGAGAAAAAATAAGTAGAAACAAAGTAAGTTTTTTGGTTATTTCATGGAGGTTCACAATCATCGCTGTCCGCCACCAAAAAGAAGCTTCTTGTCGCAATTGCATCACCGGATTGTCGTCATTATACTTTGTCGGAGAAAAGAGCAAAAACTTAGGTTGTCTCGTGAGAAAGAAAGCCTCAAACTCACAGCCTAGTTCAGCCTTCAAGCCAACCCTCAATCCCAGCCTAGACGCAGCTTATCCAAACACATGGTCTATCCCAAATGCATGCGGCGTTCAGCCGGTTTGCGCATTGTTCACCCTTTAGTTGTTGGTTCGGGTTCAATTTGACTCGCTAACTCTGTTAGACGAACACGACTCTCCACAATGGTATGATATTGTCCACTTTGAGCATAAGCTCTCATGGCTTTGCTTTGAGCTTCCCCAAAAGACCTCATACCAATGGAGAGTGTATTCTTAGATTATAAACCCATGATCATTCCCTAAATTAACCGATGTGGGACTTTCATCATCCAACAAACTCTAATTCAAAATTCAAGATTAATTTACAAGTTCAGAATGATTAAGCTCATCGATGCAAGTGTATTTATTGTTGGATGTTTACGAGGTTGGTTGGATGAATTGTTTGATGCATGAATAGCATTTATTATGATATTTTAAATCACGAGCTATTGAAATGAATAATAATATGATGAATAAATGTTCGAGTATGCTTATATGGTCTATGTAAAGCATGATCTACCATGATATAGAGAATACACGAACATGTGTGATCGTGTATGAATATGGTTGCCCACTTTCTTTGATATTAGCATTGTACTAAGCATGCAAATATAGTACATACGGCATAAGCATGCGGTCATAGATTATTTCACCAATTATGCATTATATAAACTGGTACATTTTCGATATTTTATCACCTTCCTTTTATTCTGCTAGTTTCAGTTGTGTGAGTGTACATTAGCCCATTGTCAAGCCTAGAGAGTACGTTAAGAAGCTCGATTAGTGAGTCCACGTGTAGAGAAATACTATACATCAAATTATACCTAAGAATGAAAGTAGAATGTAAAGATAGTCATGAATTTAGGGTCGTTACAAGTATAACAACGTTTTTTATATACATATTTTAAACAATGATGCTATATTATTAGACATATATGTAATAATTGTCCGATCTTATACTAAAAATAGGGTCGTTACACCTCGGTTCGTATATTCATAAATATATATTAGTTTAATGTATCCTAAGTTACCAACCCACTTGACATTCCAAAAGAAAAAAAATATATATATTTACAAATACCAATTCTGAATCTATTACCTTACCCAAAATAACAGTAACAATAAATAAATAAATAAATAAAGGCGACACAATCTGTCTGTGATGGATGGATTTTCCCCTTTTCACCAACAGCGTCGGCATGCGTACTCACGTGCCTTTGTTCCCTTATATATATATATATATATATAATATTTATTCCATCATGTTCCCTAAATATTTATTCTACCATTTTTTATTTTTAAAATTAAGACTATTATGATTATGATTATTATTTTTTTTAATTTTGATTAAAAATTCAAATATTTTATTAAAAAAATGTTTTTTTGGTATAAAATTAATTAAAGAAAAATATCATTTTTTACAAATTTATACCAATTTTCAGAATCAGTAAAAGTAGATAACCGGTTTCGTTTTCTGTGTCTTTGTTTCTATTGCATTCTATCTTATCGTATCAAATTTTGTTCTACGAAAGGCCCAAAACCAATCCTGGAGAATAGTGGAGCTTCATAGGGGTAAATCATCGTCTCTCAGATCCCTGACTGATTCTACCAAAGAGATGGTCAGACAGAATTGATTATTAGGGACAGACAAATCGATAAAACTGTAGTAGCCATAGATACGTTTTTAGTCTCAGCTTAAAATTTAAATTTCATTAATCATTTTTATTAAACTAGACATGTTTTAATTTCTAGATTAATAACAACTCAAGCGGATAAAAAAAAAAATAATGGTAACACTTAAATTAAAATTTTAAAGGTGATTTGTAAATTTTTTGTAAATTATTTTATTATAAACACTTTTAATTATTACATTTTCTAAAAATAATCATACAAATTACAAATTAATAATTGAAAATTAAGTAGACTTGATTACCATTTGATTTTTAAAACTAAAACTAAATTTATTGAAGTATTTAAATTTTTAGAAATATTTATTATGGTTAGAAAAAATAAAATGTGAAAATTGAAAAATAGGGATGGAATATAAAATAATAGAATTAGGAGGGGGTGGAGTATAGGGAGAAGTGGGGAGAAAATATAAATAGAAAAGAGAAAAAGGACGAAAAGGAAATATTAAAATAATTGTAAGTTGGCCCACTCTTTACTCTTTATTACTCACCTTCTTCCCTTTCTCTCCTCCATTCTCAAACTCAAGCCTGAGGCCTCTGGTATTTGCACATCAAACCCTCCATTGTTAAGGGTAACATTGTAATTTTCTTTTTTTTTTTTTTTTTTTTTTTTTTTTT